TAACACCTATAAAGTTCGTGAACAGTAAGATTTCGAGATATAAAACAAAATTTCTTAACGTTTATAAAAATTCTCCTGAAAAATTCCATATCTTAAATCTATTTTAATTCATTGATTGTTTAAAATTATTAGAAGGCTATCAAGTTAACTCAGTAAATGAATATTTCTCTATAGTTATTTTCATATTACATTGATCTGTAGGCGATGCTTTTATTTTAGCACTAACGACGGAAATTCTTCAACTGATATATTCTTTTCGGTTGAAACCATGTGTATTATATTGTCTCTGATGACGTATGAATAACTTGAAAAGAGTTTGTGCTCTTGCTTATTGCTGCGGAGATACTGCACTTTTACAGTATTTTTTCAATGAATGCCGTGATCCCTCTCAGACACCACAGGAATACTTGTATTTGAATTTCGATTCCAAACTTTGCATAGAGGCAAGCCAAACTTTTTGTGAACGTTTGATTTCTTGTTGCTATTTCTCTCTTAAGATGTAACTATAATAATAAGGTGTCTTTTATACCGTTTATATAATCCGGTAGTTTTGATGTTCTTATTTCAGGTTAGAAACAAATCAAAAGACCTGAAATTTTCACAATAAACTATTCTCATTAAGACTTGTCTCTATGAAAAGTTTCAAGCCGAAATTTGAATATTAATTTTTCTGCTGTTCCTTAGGAACATTACAACATTCATTAAACAAATACTACGAAAATGCAGTATCTTGGCGGTAGTAAGCTAAGGGCACGAACTCTTTTCCAGGTATTCATAGTTCATTTAGGTGTATAAAAAAAAAAGCTTCGAGTCAAAAGCAATTTATCAATATGAAGGATTTCCCTCAGACGTTCGACTATGTCTCTTATGTTTATATATAAAATAGATAATATAATATGAGATGAATATAATAAAATATAACAAAAGAAAAAAATCAAAGCCGACGACAATGCTAAATTAATTAGAAATTTATAATATAATAATTTGGTCTCATTGTAATTTTGTAACAAGAAAACTCTATCGTCTTTTATTTCAACTTTTACTATCAATTAACATGAAGGATAAAAAAGCTTTCCTTATATACAAATATATATATATATATATGTATGTAAGTTTAGTAAATATATGGTTCATATAACTGAATATTTTCTTGCTATCCAAATCAATATTTAATTCCATTCGCATGAGAAAAGAATTGAAAATGAAATTGCATTCTCTTTGTTTTAATTTATAATTAAAATTTTATGATCGTCTGGCCATTAGAGAATAATGAAGCAATATATTTAGCTGACTTCTTTTTCTTTATACATCTTTTCTTTTTTTCTTGCCTCATTTTACTTGAAAATGTATTCAAATTTTTCTATAGATGATGAACAAATATTCTCGTCTAACGGCAGGTGGACAGGAAAAACTCATACGATTACTTTCATAGAATATGTGAATACTCATGTTAGCAATTTTCTTTCTTTCATGGAGTTGAACCACCGGAATATAGTAACAGCATTAGTAATCATGAAACATTGGCTCTAATTAATGTCGAGATGATCCTAGAAACTATTCATAGAACAAGTTGATGCAACCCTATCAACTTCTATTGAAATCAGAAGTACATCATCTTTACTACTAAAATGAAAATTTTTCTTGAACGGAGATGATTTCTTGCAAAAAACACTTTTCCTACAATCAAAATAAAGGAAAAATCCGATTTCTTTATTTTCATTTGCACATTCGAACAAATCGATTTGCCTAATATACAAAACAATGATATTAGAAAATTAATCTTTATCAATCGAAAATTAATAGAAGCAGTTTTCATTCCAAAAAGAGATTATGGGATTGTATAATTAAATAAAAGACAAAACTATTTCGATAGTTTTCATCAAGAAATAAATCCCAATAGCTGTATACAAACTAAATACTCTTATTACTACAAAGGAAACATTTTTTTTATTCGAATTCCCAAATGAAAAAAGAAATTTTCTATAGACAATGATCTTTCCCAAATTAAAAGCACTTCTCCCAGCGCACGTTGACACACATAAATAAATTCTGCATGTCTGAATGATATCAATACATAGATACAAAATTCTTATTTTACTGTAGAAATTGTTGTGAGTATGTGCTTAACTAATCAGTTTATCGATTTTCTTTTATTTTCATCTGTAGTTTTTTTCATGCATAAATAAATTGATTGATACATCTAAATATGTCTAGTTAGTTTGATTACCTTAAGATATTTCATATGACTATATTTCTTGAAATATTGTATGCAAAAATTCTATTCGAAACGATGATGAAAGTTTCGAAATATAAGATAAATTTTTAAAAAAGTCTCTATATAACTTTATTTTGCTATTATTTGTATCAATTTATATATCGATAAATTACTTTAGGGAAGTCATGCAATCGTATAATACGATTATATACATCAGCAAACAGAAAACAAATTAATTCTGTTGTGTTGAAAAATTCATTTTCTAAGAATAGATAAGTGGAGTTACGTACAATATTAATGGCATCTGCTATATATACAAATAAAACAATGTCCTTTAATTCAATATTCCTTTGAAATATTCTAATGTGTCTTTTAAAAAATTATTCTTTGTAGTTTTACATTGAAGAGAAAATTTATTGTAAAATTCATCGAGAAATTTCGTATTTTCTTGAACAAGTCTTTTGAAAAAAAAAGAAATATCGAATAAAAGAATAAGGAGAGATTAAATTTCAAGTTAAATTTAATGGAAATTTTAGTCATGATGTATAATCAAATTCTTTCCATCTTTTAACTTATAAAAGTATTTATGGCATCCTGTTGTTTTCCCTAGATAATTCTTCTTCATTAATCTTACAGGAAAATAACGTTTTCTTCATTGTATTAGTACTAAGGTATATTATTTTGTAAACTTGTACTTAACAATATATTTACTAATGTTTATAGAAAAATATTACCTTAAGCATCTCATTAATGAATAAAACAGGGCAATACTCAACATTCGTCATATAATTATAATAGTAAGTAGAATAAATTGATGCAAAAAGTACGTGATAAAAATGAGTAAAAAAGATTATGATTAATTTGAAACATTTAAAAACACAACAAACGAACAATTTTTAATAGATCATCTATTTTTAATTGGCTTTTTGTATTTTTTCTTATTTTCAAAGTAATAAATAATCTTTTTATTTATATATGGTATTTCTATTAACATATGACGTGATTTGATTTTTAAATTACTAAATTAAAAGACAAAGAATAAGTCAATCTATATAAAATCATTTTGATTAACATTAAAAATAAATAAATTATTATCTATAATAACATGAAAAAAGTACATAAAACATTTACATTTATATACATATATATATATATATATTCACTTGACTACCATAGAACAACTTTTACACGCATAACAACAACAAATCAATTATGCTCATTTTTCTTTCTTCGAAAATCATATTATTTGCTTTGTGTTATATTTACCCGTCGTCTTTTATACTTCCTGTATGTATATGTCAGTATGCCGATAGCAATTTTCAAAAGAAATAGCAAAACCATGATGACAAGAAATATAAGAAGTTAGAAGCTAAATCAATGATCGACATCGCGTGACAAGTTACGGCATATATAGAACAAAAAGGCGGCACGTTTTTGATTTTTTTTTTTGTTTTTTTTATAGAAGCTTATCTATGTAAAAACAAACATATGTTTATTACGAACAGTACAAAATATTATTCCCATCTGCTTTTACCCTGACTGCATCTGTTGAAATAATTCTGTTTGTTTTTTCTTTATGTATAGATCAACTTTAAACATAAGTTCATGTGCTACATAAAAAAAAAAGAAAGAATAGTACCATAAATTCAGACTTTAGAAAAAGAAGTAATGAACCATAAACACGATCATGAACTATTAATTGTATTAGTTTGTATTTAGATGTTTAATTTATAGAACATCCCATAGAAATCATGATTGATGTAACTTTTTTAAATGGATTATTGAAAAAAAAACTCGTCTTTTTTTTTTTCGTGAGATATATGGTTATATTCAGATATAAAATGAACGATGTTCTAAGTAATATGATTAGTTAAAAACAGTAAATGGAAGTAGTCTGTTTTCTTTTAGATTTGTTCATTGTTCGAACAAAAGCAAAGGAAGAAAAGCCAATAACATATTATTTTCAATAAACTATTTCTTGAGATAGATCTTTAAATAGTCATATATTGTTTCAGAACTTGAGATGTTCTATCTCAAGATACTATTTATAGGTTATATAATGTAATGAGATTTTTATAGACATTTATTGTTGTCTTCTTATTTTGTTTTTTAGTTTGCTTTTCAATATGATCCAATAATCGTTGCCTATATACGATTGGATGAAATAGCCAATTATCAGATTCTTCAATTAGTAAGTTTTCGTTATTCTTTACATAAATTAGTTACATAAATAAAAACAGTCAGCGATAAAAGGTTTTTATGTTTGAATGAATTGAATTATATAAATCTATTTGTTATTTCTAATAATGACATCCATTTACTAAAATAAAAGTAATGGAAATAAGGCGCTTTCTATTCTAGAAGAAAAATAAGAATTTTTAAAGAAATTTATTTTTGACTTTTTAATTCCTAAAGATCTTTAGTACAAATTACAAAAAAATAATTTGTGAGATGAAAAAATTCTTAACTCTTCTTATTGATGGAACCTTAAGGAAGAACGAACAAATTGTAATTCTTGTTGACAAAGTCTATCAACAAAGAAACGGTGACGACATACACATAAAAAATTCTTTTGTAAGAAGCTAAGCATAAAGAAAGAGAAATGAACTAGTGAAGCAAATTGAATGCAATCAGCAATGTTTCTATTGTAAGAACTTAATTTAGTCGATCCTTTACTTATTTTCTTCTACTTTCTATTTTTTCTTATTCAATCTATCATTTATGTCTCTTTCTTTTTTCGCAGCTTATATTAAAAAAAAATAAACAATAAGACATTTAATATCGAATGTTTATTTCGACAAGTAATGTTTACATTAATGTGCTTGATTGATTTAGCTTTTATCAAAATAAGAAATAAGAGAGCCTATTAAAACACAATATATAGATATAGATATATAGATATGTTGCCCTAACTTTCACGAAAGTACTGTCTAGAATAGCATGTTCTTGTTATGAATAAATTTTTATATAGACGAGTACAAAGAACATCCGCTATTAGATCTTCAATTGGGGAAGTACTTTTTTGTCATGCAAATGAATGAACAGTTTTTCTTTTTCAGAAGTACTAAATCAACTACATGCTGAGTAATGTTTTCCTATTTCATTTTCTCGACAAATATCCGTTTTGATTGAACAAACTTGACTTTACATTTAATTCTAAGAACAATATAAAACTTAAAGAGAAAACACATGACTATTTAATAATAATACAATATCAAAATCAATGAACTTTTTTATTAAATTTATTTAAATAGAAGATTATCGAGAAACAATTAAACAGATCGCTTTTTTCCAGATGTGCGTCTAGGACGGGTGTGAAAAAGAAGGAGAAAACATCTATCACTGTGAGAGATTATTATTTATTTAAATGATACTTATCAATATCGAGTGTTCTGTTTCTGTTAAGCTCGTCTGGTCTATCAATCAAATAAAAAAAGAAAAAGTAAAAGATGTGAAACTGAAAAGAAAGAAGGAAGAGAAAAAACCGAGTGTGAGAGAGAGAAAAAACGAGAAAGAGAAGGAGAAAGAAAATGATTAATTCAAAAAGAAAAGGGTATAAGTGAACAGGAGACGATGCGAGAAATACATGACAATATAGATCACGCAAGACTACTATTTTTTATTCAAATGATGAGAATTTCATAGTTTTTTTGTCACGAGACTCTATATAAAAAAAAAGAGATGTATTATCTATTCATTAGTTTCATGATATTGTATTCGATCTAGAAATTGCGACCATTTATTTGTTATTCCGTATGTGTATCTTTCTATTCTGGTGAGTTAAAAAACGAAGGTCAAAGTATTTATGTTTTTTGAGTAACCAATGAAGTCATTGTTTTGTTGTGAACACATAGAATGATGATAATAATAATCTTCTTATATATAATGAAAAAAAAAATATTACATAGTCGATTATTTAATATTAGAGGTATTGACTAAAGAATTTTCTTTTTTTCTATTATGAGAAAGTTGATTATAGAGTGATTTTAAAGGAAGGTAGGTCATTAGATGTTGTCATTATTGAATGAGAAAAAGAAGGAATCGGAGCGGTTGATTATAGGCGGGAAAGTGGCCGGATATGAATGTACACGACAAGCGGCGAGCGGAAAATAAGGGGGAGTCATCTTCCGAAATTTTCTCTGCTACAATTCTAATAGCAAAATCATATATATTCTTCATAAACCTCCATATACTACAAAAAAAGCCACTGAAAATAGTATAAGCTTCATAGTACACAACAAAATGTATAATCAACTCTTTTACCTTATGTTAATATTTCAGTGCCGTTAACTATTTCAATACATCGTCGTGATTTATTTCCGTCGAATTTTTACATCGAAAATGATAATAGACTTTTTCCATTTAATGTTAATACTATTGATTGGTATTTAATATCGTCAATTAATTCCAATATGTCTATTATTTCACCTTCATCCGTATCGTCATCTAATTTGATAAATATAATTAATTCAACAACAAGAACAGTATCAACAACAGTTCGACCAATGCCAATTATTCGAGCATTACCAATTGCATTTGTTCTTTCAAGTATTGTTGTTCTATGTATATGTGGTAATATTCTCGTTATTTTATCTGTCTTTACATTTCGACCATTACGAACTGTACAAAATATTTTTATTGTTTCACTTGCTTTTTCGGATATGTTAGTTGCTATTATAGTTATGCCATTTCATATTGTTGTACATACAGTTAAACGATGGATATTTGGTAAAAAAAAAACAGAAATAATCTTATACTTAAAAATAAAAATAAAAAAACTTAATATTTATTTTAGGAAAACTATTTTGTCAAGTTTTTGTCACTTCTGATGTTCTTCTATGTACATCATCAATATTAAATCTTTGTGCTATAGCAGTAAGTTATTTCTAACAATATAAAAAGAAACAAAATATTTTCATATTAAATATCAATAGCTTGATCGTTATTGGGCAATAAGTGATCCGATACATTATGCACGTCAACGTACAATGCGACGTGTACTTATTATGATAGCTATTGTTTGGTTATTATCAGCAACAATATCAATTCCACCTATTATTGCAAATATACTTGGTTCAGAAGAATTGAAAAATTTTAATGAACTTCAACAATGTGAATTATCAAATAATAAAGCTTATGTTATTTATTCAGCATGTGGATCATTTTATATTCCAGCAGTAATTATGACTGTTGTTTATGCACAAGTGTTTTTAGAAACACGAAAACGTTTTCGTGAACGTGCTACAGGTTTGTTTTATTTTTGAATTTTGTTTTTTTTTTTTAATTTATTTAATTTATATTTATTAAAATAGCTGCAGCAAAATTAGCGAATGTTACTCGTACACATAAAACTATTAAAAAGAAAAAAAATAGTAGTCCTAGTGGTCATCATTATCGTTATAAACGAAGTCTATCTTCATCAATAATGCATGCAACAAGTTCATCATTAAAATTTTCAGCATCAAATGGTAGTGGAGTAGACAACTTTAGTACAGATGACGCTGAAGAAATGTCGTTTGCAAAAACTGAAAGTGTCAATCCAGTATCGTATTCTATTCTGAGTCCTAATAATACAATGATCAATAATCAATTAATTCAATGTCATAAAATGGATATAGGTGCATCACAAATTTCACTTACTATGAGTATTGATGAAAATAAAATGCCTCCAATAAGTAAGTAGAGTTTAATAAAAAAAAAAAATCATTATGGTTTTATTCCGCAGGAGATTTTATTAATTTTATTCAATATATTCTACTGTTCTTTTTTGTTTATGAAATAATTTAGTAGTGAAAATGAGATATAGAAATGAATCTTTTAATTATCCTAATCTCGAAGAAAAACAATGTTGATTATCGTGCAAAGATACTTACAGTGCTACGAGAATAATGAAATTATGTGTCAATTAAATAATCACTAATTTTTCATAAGTAAACTATATAAATTGAAGTATCTTATCATCAAGCTTCTTTTCTGCAATTGATAAGAAAATCGAAGCCTCGAAGCAATTTCTACTAAATAGCACTATAAAAGTGCATTTTTTTTACATCCCACACAAAAAAAACAAATGTACAAGCTTTCCTATTTTCTATTTATTACAGTAAAATTCATTATTTTACTAAAGGAAATAATTTTTCAAATCCATACCTAATTAGTTAGTTGAACTCGAAAATTTGTTAACAAATATTTCATATATAATAAATTTTACTGTATCGTCAGATTCGAAAGCTTTTAAACTCAATGCCAAATTAAGTTGTAAGCCGATCGGTTTAACCCCAAAAAAGTTTTAAGATATCTCAACTACCATCACCGTTAGCCGCACTACTGCCAGAATATAAAACTAGATATTAGATTTCTGAAAACTTTCGATATTCAGAATGGATTTTCAAGGATATTCCTGGTCAGTTTTTTTCTATCATCTCGTTCTCGACCCTGACAAAATTTAAAAAAAAAGTTCTAATAGGCTCAACTATCTATTAATTTATTACCTTAGATCTCCTCTGTCTACTACAACTAGTTTTCTTTCTTATAGCCTGCGATACGTTACCTTCAAATATTGAATTATCCATACCATTATATAGTCAACCTTCAATAAGTGAATATAAATCTGAAATTGACTTTTTAAATCAACAACAAAATGCATCTGTTCAAACAACCGAATTTTTAAATGAATCAAAATGTTTTTCAATAAAACATTCATCGAAAGATTATGATCGTAAAATGTTATTTAAAGGTAAAACTTTAGCATCATTAATGCATGAACGACAAAAGATATCTTTAACACGTGAACGTCGTTTATCACGTACACTTGGAATAATCATAAGTGTATTTCTTTTATGTTGGTTACCATTTTTTGTTGTTTATATTTTATCAGCTTTTATTGATGTTGATTCATATATCAAAGAACCGTTACCAACATTAATACTTTGGCTTGGCTATGTAAATAGTGCTGTTAATCCATTAATTTATACTGTATTTAACGTAGAATTTCGCACAGCATTTAAACATTTGTTACTTCCAACTACGAAGAATAAACCTTCAAATCGATGTTATATAGCAAAACATAATGGAAAATAATATTTATTAAGAGTTGACAAATTTTTGAGTGTTTTTTTTGTGAATAATGGTATTTTACAAAAAAATATATTGTATTTCTTGATGAATAAACATGTGAATATAGAATTAAAAGATAAATGTGGTTCTAATTAGTCTGATAACTAAGATATCATGTTTTATGTAGATAGAAGCGAGAGTAGTATAATTATATTGAATAATCTATTTTTTGTCAAGTATTAAAGAGTGTTACAAGATTTATAATGAATGATAGAGAAATCGAGAAACTTTAAAGAGAAATCTAGGCTTCAGTACTATTCATAAAGCGTGAGTGAACTCGCTTACTTGACTTATGTAATAATATCGACTTATATTTTCTTACTAAGAAAAACTAGATAAATACGAAATTAGCTTTTGTTAAGTGAAATTTATATCCATTCAGTAAATAATTTGAATACAAGATAAACCTATTGAATGTTCAATCAATTTAAATTTTCTCAATAATAAAAACCTTTGCTAAATCTGATAATTAATATGTAAGTAAAATATTTAATCAAATTTTTAATTATAAAACAAATCCGATAATGAAAAAAAAATGATTATCAACAAGTAATTGTAAACAAGACAAAGTAGCAATTATTAATGATAAAGTGAGAACGTTTGAGTTAGTAATACAGCGAGTACATTTCCCTCTCTCATGCTTTCTCCTGCCAGTATTAACTTGACACCATCACATAATTATTTAACATGTTCAGGTACAATTATCCTTTCTTTTTCTATACGATTTGTACATTTTTCTCGAGAGTTTTCCGATGTCTGTCAGTGAAAATATACCTCATATTCACAAAAAAATGGTAAATTTTGTATCGACACTACAATATGACAACTCGTTAGGATCTGATAATGAAATGAACATGAACCAACAAAATATACAAGACAAGGATAAATTTGACTGGGTAAAAGATAAAAGTTTCATTAATGTAATAACTTTACATTCACTATCTACATATAATTCTAATTCATTAATACAAAAGTGGAAATCTTTTTGACACTTCATTAGTTATCTCTATTTTTAGTTCATTACAAATTAGAGCTTTTCTTCTATTTCTAAATTTGTCGAAATAATAAATAAAATTGAATGAGAATAATTGAATTTAATATCAATGTCAAATCATTCTGCTCTTCAACAGTTAGAACTAATAAAAGTAGGACGAACAGTGTCTCTATATCATCAAGATCAAATGGGGTGCGCCGATCTTATGTAGAGTACACTCGAAGTAGAAAATTTTTTTTTAATGTCAAAATATACTTTAAACGAAACTAATTGAATAAGAATGTTTGTTTTGTCGAAAAAATAATTTAATATTATTTTTCGATAGAATTCTACCTGAAAAACTAAGACAAATACATTCCTGTGAATTGAACATTAACCATTCAAATGAATCTTATGAAAAACACATTTATATTTTTATTTTCTGCCAACCATTGATTAGTTTAAATCGTAACTTTACACTATACAAAATGTTTTAATTTCATTTATATTAAATTATTAAAAATCAATACGATTTTGAATCTAGAGTTGACATGTCAACAAATAATCAAGTTCAAACATTCATATATTCGTACAATATGCATTTTCTAATTATACAAAAAGCATGTATGGCTTAAATAGGAAACCTTTGATGATTTTCTACTAACATTCAGGTCTTTGTATTTAGTAAAGAAAAACAATACTGAAATAAGATAGAAAGTGTGTACACTCAAGCTTGAAGATTTTATTTTATAGAGTACTGTAACCCAAGATGGGGTGTTTATAGTAGTTCGGTAGATAAAGAAAGAGCTATGGCAATTACTGTCAAAGAAAACTGCCGAGGAAATAATTAGTTTAAAAAGAAACAAAGATTTTATTGTAACAACAGTGTCATCATGCACTCATCAGTATGGTAAATAACACATACAACGCCATAATTTAGTTCATTATAGTAAAGATAAATTATATATCATCTCTATGATTATTCAAGAATGTTATAATTATAGATAAAAATGACAATTACAAATAAAATCATATCTTCCGGCAAATATTTTTGAGTTTAATTGATAGGAATATTGATTTACTTTTCTCAATCAAAAATTTTTATTCACGTATCTCGATATAATCATAACCAGACACACATAAAAAAAAGCATTAATAGATCTATTTATAAAATATAATCCAAAAAGGAGTGTTGAATTATAGAGGTAAAAATTTGGGTTCTCCCTTCGCACAGATCATGACAGATGTTATTGCTATACTATTAGAGACGTCATATCGACAACGTCTCGTTATACTATATGAACTACTTCCTTATTGCGTTTGTGGTGGATGAAGTAAAAGGATGGTGAAGAAATGTGTCCTCAAATAGATAGAATAAAACAATCTCCGTGTGGGTAGTAACGGGTGACCCATAATAAATGACAGCACTTTGCATTGCATATTTTAATTTCAAAATACGCATTATTAAAAAAGCAAACTATACCACGAGATGCAGCGTGAAAAGCTCTATAATCTAGGAAGTAGAGCTTATTTTAATTGAGCACTTTTTCTTTTCAAAACTATGTACGATCAATTTTCGCCCTTGTGAAAGCATAATTTTTTTCAACATGGACGAGAAATTCCTTTTTTCTTATTTCATGTATAAAATAAACTGCTCTGTGCAAATTGTAGAGCTCTTCACGCCGCATTTTTTTGCATAGTTTTTTTTTCTACGAAAGCATATTGGGTGATAAAAAGATAAAATAAGAAAAAAGGATGTCCGGTTCTTGTAGAAAAAAATGATTTTTTTTGCAACGACCAAAATTGATCACACAGAATTTTGCGTTTTTTGAAAACAAAAACTACACATTTGAAAATAAGCTTTACATTGTAGATTGTAGAGCTTTTCACGCTGCACCTTGTGGTATAGTTTGTTTTTTTAACAATACGTATTTTGAAATTAAAATATGCAATGCAAAGTGCGGCCATTTATTATGGGTTACCCGTTGGTAGCAGCAAAATCGTGTTTCACATTTAAATCTCGCCAAGATTGTGCTAAAAAAATTTCCAATAAAGATTTGAAATCACTACTCTACAAATTGATTTATTTAACGAGAGAAGTTCCTTAACTGATGAATTCCTTTGAAGTCCGAACTATTTACATCATGTAGATCCTACTGAATCATGAACATCCTAAAAAGAGTTTGGACCCTTAACTTGTTGCTATTAAGGTACTGCATCTTTTATGGCTTTCGTTTAGTTAATATCATGGTCTCTTCGAAAACACTAAACGAATTTGTTTTCGAATTTTGATTTGAAACTTTGAGTACAGAATCGATCCTAGCCAGAATGGTTTATATTATAAAAGTTTCCCGTCTTTTGATTTATTCCTTTCCTGAAATAAGAATATAAAATCTGCCAGCTTATATAAACAGTATAGCCGACAAGCGTTTATCATAGCTGTAATATCTGAAATTTTCGCAATAATCTATTCTTGGTGAGCGTAGTCTCTGAGAAAAATCGAAAACAAGTTTTTCTAGTGTTTCCGAGGGGTACCATGTCATTGACTAATGAAATATTGTCAACATGTAATATGTCGACAGGAACAAAATCAAGGGCCCGAACTCTTTTCAGTATACTCATAGTTCATTAGGGTCTACATAAAGTATATAATCTCGACTCAAAAACGATTATTAGTTGAAGGACTTGCCTCTTACGTTGACGTTTTTAGTCTTCTTTAATTTTCAAAATATTTCATACAGCACTTTAAAAAATTGTGAAACTGTTTTTCTTCTCACACGATTGTTTAACACACCGTACGGATATATTATTGCATTTCTACTTTCCTACAAAAATCAGTCATCATATTCACGAAATTATTGCTTATATGCATAATGTTTGAGAGTTAGAAACAACTTAAATTATAAAAATCACATTTAGAATTTGACCAGTAGAAAACCTTTCAAGATGATCATGTTTTATTTTTCCGCTGTAGAACACAAAAAAACAAACAGAATGTAGGATACGTTAAAAAAAGAAACCACTGAATCATTAGGAGAGAAAAAAAAATGTTTTTATCTATGTTTCTAGTAACCATGTTAATTATAGTTCTATGATGTTTGTTCCGTTTCTGCAAGAAAAGAAAAATGAATATATATATATATGGGAGCATTTTAAAAGTAAAATTAACTAACTAGCTGGATAAACTTGATCAGCAAGCTTTCCACCTTGCCATTTGTTAACACGTACATAAGATTCTTCACGTTTCATGGCTTCTTTAGCAATAGATGGTTTTAAACATCGACGTAATGTACGTGCACACACAGCAGAATATTGAATATAACTAAATTATTATGAAAGTTTAATTTTTTTTCCTGTAATAAAATGAAACTAACTTTAATCCAGCTAAACGCCAATACTGCATGTTTGATTGCTCCGTGTTTGAACAAAAAAAAAGCAGAAAAAAAATGGAAAAATCACGAAAACACAAACAGTACAATACAATGTACTTCTACCACTTATTTATTTTATTTTAGGATTGGAGAGAATACCTATCAGTCATATAATAGATGACTTATTTTTTGCATATTTCTTCATTAAAAATTTTTTTTTTTTATAAATCAATTAACTTGACATTGATTATTATAAATATTGAATTCCATTTGAAAATAAAAATTGTCGCTAGCTTACGGCAATAATAATATTCATTGCCGATTCTAATGATACATTTATTGAATTATTCTGTCAATTATATATGTTCTTTAGGTAAATATTTAACAACAATAAAACGTCTATCGTTCGTCTTTCAATATTGATCATCTACCTCCAATACTTTAACATATTTATAGACTTAAACAATTATCACTTAATTAATATTTTAATAGACTAATATAGACTATCATTATATTTATATTATTTTCAACTTGTTTAACAAATAGGTGAACATACTAAACAGTCAACAATATTACACTATAAACATTGACTTTTATTATTCGCATTAGTAAAACTGAAT